CCAAAACCGGTGTGGAAGTTTTACACAGAACTGTTGTGGGGACAGAGTTACTGTGACTTGACTAACTGCTGGACATAATTGTGGGCGCTCAGTCAGCTCTTGGTATTTAGCCCCTTCAGCCAGCAAACAGCTGGGCTCCAACTTCTACAAGTCTACTTGGGAAAGTAATTTAGTGCCATTCTGAAAGGAAAAACCAATTCTAAGTGCTGTGTGGGGTTTAATGAGCAGCCTGTGGGTGTCGGAATTTAACCTTTTCTTTTTTTTACACGAAATTGAAAAAAATCTTTCCTCTTGCCTTCCCCCCTCCTAGATTATTTGCAGGTGTCCTCCCTCGAATGGCAGCCATCAGCCTGGGAGGTTTCATCTTTCTCGGTGCTTATGACCAAACTCGCAGCTTTCTGTTGGGACTTGGCGGAGAGAGGCCCTGAATCAGAGGCGGCCCCTTCTTTCAGGAAAGGGTCCCGCTGTGAGAACCGTCTGCCTTCCGGTGAGCAGCTGCTGGGCCATCTGAACCGCAGAACACGGCGCTGAAATCCAGTCCTGCTTGGATTGTGACACCAGGAACCCGTCTTCCGTGCTCCAGGCCGGCGGGAGAGGCGTCTTCAGCCTGTTCGCGGAGTTGAGAGGGAAGACGATGTCCACAGCGGTACTTTGAACAGTTTTCTCAGACCCTTAATAAATCAGCGGCAGCGCTGAGTCCAGACTCTTCAGAGCCTTCGTTTGATCTGTATCCCACGCGATGAAGGATTCAGCCGAAGGTAGAGGTGGTTACAATGTTCAAAGACAGGCTAGAATGGGTACAGGAAGGAGACTTAGGGGAAAAGCTGGGGGTGTGGGTGGGTTTTTCCCCTCGGGTGGTTCCGATTGCATGAGCTTCCGGCCTCGTGTGAAGCGGGAACTACAGGTGCGTAGTGAGCGTTCTCGCTGGGCAGCCAGGCTGCTGCTCTCAGTGACCCTCAGCTTCCACCTCTACAAACACAACTGTATTGTTTTACAGAGAAGTGTCCAGCAGCCCATGTGTGAGAGAAAGCAGTCCTGGCTCAGGGACGGGCGGGCCCAGCTGGCCTCGGGCAGGCGGAGCCCTCGCTCGCCCACCTGGCTCTGTTCCAGACCCCAAGCAAGGGCCGGGGCGGGGCCGGCTCTGGAAGCAGGGTGGTTTCCTCCCTCCTCGGCAAGGGTTGCTCCTGGAGCTTTAAGCTCGACACTGGGCGTCAGAGAGAGGAAAAGGGAAGGCCACCCTTTTGGTGCTGAGCTAACAGGCTCCAGGTGTGAGAGAGAGTCAACAAGAAGCCTCAGGAATCTAACGGTGTCATCCCTGGAGCAACTCTGCTTCGACTAAAACTGTTCTTCTTTTCAGGGGGGAAAAAGGTAATTAAAGGCAGGAGAATGTCTGCCTTTGTAAGGGGATCTCTGCACTTAAGTGTAAGAAGGACCCTACCACACCCCTCACATTTTATAAATGAACCTTTATTAAAGACACTTCAATGCCATTTGTTAGACACTTCAATATTTTACATGTTTTTCAATGTACATTGTACCAAAATTTCTATAAATAAATAACTTTGTACATAAAAGTAATACTTCCTCTTTCACATTGCCTCTCAGAAGCAGCAAATTCACATATTTTGTGGAAGTAACATGAATCAGTTAACTGTTGAGAACAAAATTCTAAATGTGCTTACCTTTGGGAACAGTGATGGCGCTAGACAGTAAGTTAGTCAATACCTCCCCTTCAGCTGTTTGGCTAAAGGAACTTTGCTTTCTGAGATTTTTAAGGACCGTGTTTGTTTCAACGTAATTCTTCCTGAAATAGACACATTGGCACTCACAAGATGGTTAGCTACAGGGCTCCAAAAAGTGCAAATTAGACCCAGAACCCAGGTCAAGGGCTAAACCTCTTGAGGGTCCTAGCCCGGGTCCGCCTGTGCGAGGGAAGGACGAGGACAGGCCTGCTCCGGATCCTCGGGAGAGACATGCTAGCCCTGAACAGTAAGGCCTCTGATTCTTTTCTTTCCCCCCAAGGCCAATGTAATAATTATATTGGCAGAACTAAGAAATCGCTATTGAAAAATCCACAGGTACCAACACCAGCAGCCTCTATCATATTAAAAAGCCTCAAATGGCAATCGAGTGATACTGACAAAACCACATTTGCTTTTATCACAGAAGAAAGGCAGTGCTTCCTTGTTCGAGCCCGTTGCTTGTGGTGGCTTAACAACCCGTTCCACTTGTTCCAGAAAGAACCTAAACCTACGAGCAGTCCTTCCCTGCAAGGGCACCCACGCATGCGCAACACCGACTGAAGTCACTTCCCACGCCAGCCCAGCCTCTGTCCTGGGGGGGTCCGCCCTCTGACGTGCAGTGCAAATCCAGGGACTCCCCTTCCTCCCCACCCACCAAAGGCTCCTGGGAGCAAATGTGGTTTGTAGCTCCTAGAAACTCCATCCATGCATTAAGGCACCAGAACTATTCCCCACTTCTGAAATTAAACAGCAACCTGGTATGAAAAATAAGTGTCAAAATTGTACGATTTCTTTTTTCTGTTAACCATGCACTAAAGATTAAAATAGCCTTTGTAAAAGATATATAATATATATGCAATCTCTGAAAACTCTTATGTACAATGGTATCCAATACTTTTCTGCCTTGTGTACACAATAGCCTCTTGCATTGCTGTGCTGCAGCTGCGAGTCCGTCTCCCTCCCGGTGCCGCACGTGGGAGCGGAGACTGGGGACGCCTGGAGCCGGGCTTCCGCACCGCCTCTCCTACCTCTTTCCTGCAGAGACCGACGCGACAAGAGCCGAGGTAGACGAAGCCTAGCTTTTCGGTGCAAACAGCAGCGGCGTGCGCCGTTTCCCGGGGGGCTGCCCTGTCAGTGGCGTGGCCTCAGGGCTGGAGTCACAGGCCTGGGGGAGGTGTCCGTTGGAAAGAAGTAAGTGCTGGCCTTCACTGGGGACGTCAGGAGAGCCCGAGGTGGCTTCTGGCAGCTCAGGCTTGCCTGGAGTCAACGCAGAGGAAGGCTGGAGGTCTCTAGCTCGGCTGTGAGAGCCAGACTCCGAAGTCCGAGAGGAGGACCCTAGATGGGGGGCAGGGAGGGGGGCACGTCAGACCCTGCATCCTGCGCCCCCCACCTACTGCCGGGGGCTCCTCCCCAGACAGCGCCCGGTCACCTTTCCCCTCCAGAGGCGCTGCTGGCTTTTTCTTGCAGGCTGTCGGCATTCTGTCGTGGTTACTGGGGTAGAGGGCGCCCTCAGCAGTCCCACTGGTCAGATGCTGTGGCCACTGTGGGCGGTCATTCCGGCTGCTTAGAGTCCCGGGCTGCGCACCGTCTCTGGGCGCCGGAGGGGGACAGCTGGCAGGCTCCTTGGAGTGACTGTCCGAGTTGGGGCTGCAGTCACCGCACAGCCGTGGGCCACTGCGCTCTGCAGACAGAGCCACACACAGCGGTGAGCTGAGACCAGACTGCGCCCCTACAGAGTCGTGAGGCCTCAATGGCTTTCATCAGCTCTGTCCCCGAGTCTGTTCTAAGACGAGGATTCTCAACAAACACACACACACACACCCCTGCTGGAGGCGGAGCGGACAAAAACAAATTTAGTGACTAAAATCCCTCTTTGTATGGGCGTAGTTGGGCCCGGCCTGCTCTCAGCTTTCTCTCTCCACACCTCAGAGTATGCTGGGTCCTAGGTTCCTCAGGAAAAATCAGTTTTCCCCCTCCTCCCCCTCCCGTTTGGGCCACATACAAACCTCAGGCTTGTCATCACACCGTTGTAAGACGCAACCAGGCCTGTTAGTAAGTTGAATGCCAAGATCTGACATTAAGATACGCCTTCCCCTTTCATTTGATGACCCTGGCAGCCCACATTTTCATCCCAAGGACAGAGCACTTCTGACGGAAGCATCTCCTACCCGGCATCTTCTCCGGCCCAGCCGTCCCGTTGGCTTTCTCCATCACTTTCCACGGCTCCTGCATAAACCCAGCGCAGAGCCTGGGCTGCCTACACGTAAGGCCATCACCGTCCACCTCTGGAAACAGGCTTGCATCTCTTGGACTGACACCTACAAGAGCCCCACATAGTTAGACACGCCGGGCTGGGCACTTCACTGGGCACCCGGTGAGGAGAACGGGCAAGGCTGTCAGCACGGGGATGGTTTAAAACCATTTTCTTTCCAGTGCTGGATTACTGGGCTACCCGGGAGGCCCAGCAAGGATTGCTTTCTAATCCTGCCTTCCCAGCAGGCAGGCCTTTGAGCATGCACAGCCAGGGTGCGCAGCAGTTCTTTGTAAGGAGAAACTTGCCCCCAAGCAAGCGCTCAGCCTCCCTCAGGCCTCTGGGCACTCGCCCTCCTCCAGCAGCGCCTCGTGCTCAGGAACTGGAGTGTGTCTGCGGCTCTTACGTCAGCCCGTCCCACCTTACCCTGACTGGGAGGTACCAAGCCCAGGAGAGGGACTTCCTGGGAGACAAGGACTTTAAAACCTTGCACAACTTGCATGGGTAAAGTCCAAAAACAAACCAACAGAAGCCTCAAGTCAGCAGCCTGCTGGCTCCCCAGCTGCGCTCAGGGTGAGGCTGAGCCCCTGTCCCCGGCAGGGCAGGAGCCGCCGCCCCAGGCACTGCAGCCTTACCGTCACTCTCGACGTGCCCGTTGGCCTGACGGCCACCCTCAGCCCTGACCACAGTTTCCTGCCGCTCAGAAAGGGTCCCCTGAGAAGACAGGTAGCTTGGAACATCTGGTGGCACGATGGTTTCATCTGCAAGGAGACAGGACGCCCAGGAGCGGGTGTCTAGGTGTGCAGGCTGCACTGGGGAAGCCTTCCCACCACCTGCTCAGCCTGACCGTGCACCCAGGGAGAAAAGGGTGCGGCAGTCAGATGTCTGAGTAAACAAAAGATAGAGGCCAGAGATGAGGAGCGGCGGCGGGGGTCCCTGCCAGTCACCCTGGGGCAGCCGCCAGGGAGGCCTCCAAACACCGCAGTCGTAATGTTCTTAAATTTGAGCGTATGCCCCTTTAAGGTACAATTCCCGAGAGAGAGTATGAAGTTCCTGAGACCAAAGCCTCAGCTGTCCCAAAGGACTCCATATTCCCAGGGGTTCTCAACTTCCAAATATACTGAACTTCCCAAAAAGCCCTCGGGACGTGGCTGCCGCCTCCCCGGCGCAGCTCACCTGTGTTAGTGACACTGTACTCCTCACTCTTCTTCCGGGTCTGGTAGATGATGCACACCCAGACCAGCGACGTCAGCACGACACTGCAAACCACGGCGATGGTGAAGATGCCCACGGTGGTGCCGTCCTTCCTGCAGCCCGGCGTGGGCAGGATGCTCAGCTGGCTGTGCGCGCGCTCGGTGCCCAGGGTGTTGGACATCTCGCAGGTATAGCGGCCCGCGTCTTCCGCCACCACGTTCTGAACGACCAGCAGCTGGTTGCCAGGGGTGTAGTGGTGCCGCTCGGTGAGGCTCAGGGGGCGGTCCCCCTTGAGCCAGGTGATGCGGGGCGGGGGGCTCCCGGTTGCTTTGCACTGGAGAGCCACTGTTTCTCCCACGGATACCACACGGTCTTCCAAGGGCACCGCCAGGGACGGGGTTTCTGCAAGAAGTCAGTGGCGATCTTATAGTTATTCTGTGGGCTTCAGCAACTAGAGATCTGCCTTGTCTGCCAAAGGACATTCCAACATATGAGGGCAATGCCATATGAAAGAGCAGAGTGGCAAGCTTTGCAGAAGACCTTCCGCCACAATGACCACATCAGTACTGTTCGGGGGGGGGCTTCAACAAGGAGGGTGAACTAACCTCCAGCCACAGAAGCCCCTACGGCTTTCACACTGCCCCGTGACAGGCCCATGTTCGTCCCCCACCTAGCCCACCCCGCTCCTGCCCACTTAGGGGGCAGAGATGTACAGGGTTTTATATCTAAGCCCTCTGAAGACTCTCCATTAGCCTGCTATCCTTTTTTTTCCCTAAGTAGAGCATCTTGTTAGAAAATCCTAGAAAGCAACCCAACATGTTCAACAAAGAAACAGCCTGCCACACTCAGCTCCCCCAGGCTTCACAGAACAGCTTGACAACTCTGCCTCTAGGTACGTATGACACGTAAGCAATCTCTGCCTCACACACACACTCACACACGCACATATACCCCGCGTATCAACAGCCGAACCTAAGACGGTCAGGGTGGCGTTCGCTGAGACAGAGCCGGCCGAGTTCTGGGCGGTACAGCTGTACACTCCCATGTCGTCTACTTTCACGTCAGTGATGAAGAACACGTCGTCGTCCGGCATGACATGCATGCGGCGCTCGCGGGCGGCGGGGAAATCCGTGCCTCCGTCCTTCTGCCAGGCGATCTGGGGGTTAGGGTGGCCGGTGGCCGCACATTCCAGACGGGCCATGGTGCCGGTCCGTATGGCAATGTCATGGGGCATTTTGGTGAATGACGGCAACACTGCAAAACACACACACACACACACACACACACACGGTGGAGATGGTGGAAGGCCAGGGGTGTCTTCCAGCAAGCCGACCTTCCCCCCCCTCCCTCACCACCCTTCTCATCACTGTCGGCCTAGAACCACTAACTGGCCCCTTTGAATCGGGAGCAACGCTTTCCCGGGCCGCCCAGCTTCTTCCTGGCACAGGCGCTGCCTTCATCAGCCCCTCCCACTGCGCAGGCCAGGCTGGCTCTGACCCCCTCAAGTGTAGAGCTTCCCTGCAACGTTCCCCTGCTGTCCCTCACGTGGTGGTCAGTCTGAACAGGAGGACCCCTAAGCGCCAGGAACAGATGCTTGCCTGCCTTCACCACCGTGGGAGCGCCTGGGAGACAGAAAGTCTGCTCCTGCAAGATGCAGTGATAGAGGGCAGGGTGACAGGCCTTCACTCTGGGGAAAGCAATGCGCTGCCTCTTCCCTCCTGGGAAAAACCCGTGGAGGAGAGACGGGGCTAGACCCACATCACTGCACTCTCCTGGGCTGAAAGCATTCCGCCAGCGTATTTCTCCCGATGTTCCCTGACCCGGGGGTCCGTGTCACTCCAGGTGCACGCAGGAGTGCTTCAGTGGAGTCTAACGGGGCCCGGATGTTGTGAGAAACAATGAGGACACCTTCAGAATAAACCAAGACCACCAGCCAAAGTGCGGTTAAAAAAAAAAAATTGGGTTTTGTGTGTGTGTGTGTGTGATCTGTAAGGGCTTAAAGATCACGGTGGCTGCATCACTTTTAATTATAATTTAATAATCAAGAGAATCTTGTTAGGTTAGTGGGGTGGTGGGCCAACTGCTCAAGCCATTCACCCCTCTCCTCCTACCCTAAACTCCCTACAACAAGCAGCAGTCCTCCAGCCACCTCAACAGGCTCCAAAGCTGGTTACAGAGTGAAAATCCTTGTCAAACACCTGCAGACCTTTCTGCTATCAGGCCAGCACGCACACCTGCCCTGCCCTCTGTGGCTCCGGCCCCAGGGCTGTGCCACCTCCTCAAAAGGCAGCAGCTCCCCCCAGGATCGGGGCTGGCTTGGACTCTGGACACCAGACATCTGGGATTAAGTAGGATAATACGTGCAAAAAAGTGCAAGGCTTGAGCCTACAATGTCACTTGACATAACTGGATTAAAGAAGTCACCCAAAACAAAGAATCCACTGAGAATAACCCTGCAGTCTACAACGCTTGTTCTGGGCCTGACCCAGGCAATCGCACAACACAGGCGTGCCCCGTCACTCCCACACGGGTGACGGGACAATCACGAGTGTGGCTCTGTAGGGCTCTGACACCCAACTAACGAGAAGGCACTCGCTTACCGTTCACGGTGAGCCTGGCCTTGTGCGAGTAGGTGGAGCCGAAGTGGTTGGTGATGACACACTGGTAGCGGCCCTCATGCCCGAAGGTGACGTGGCGCAAGTGCAGGATGGTGGTGTACTCCATCACCTCGCCGTCCTGGGCGCGGACGTGGGCGAAGTTCTCCATGTCCGCGTTGGCCAGCACCTCGTTGTCCTTCTTCCAGGCGAACGTCATCGGGGAGCTGCTGCTGCTGGCGGCCGAGCACGTGAACCGGATGTCCTTGCCCACCACGGCCATGGTCGTCTCCGGCTGGGTGATAATCTGGGGCTTTGGTAAGTCGTCTGGGGAGAAAAGAGCCACGTCTAAGTCACCTGGACTCCTGAGGACAGGAACCAGCTGCTGTTGAAACTCATGAAAAACTGAGTCAGACGGTGAGCCGGGACCCTGCGCATCCTCGGCTCCACCAAACCCCGTGAGGGACTGCAGCATGGCTCCCTGACCATATCCAGTTATACATCCATGAGCAGGGACCCCTGTACGGTCACACTCCTTGATTCCAAACACATCCACCAGGACTCGGCCAGCAGTCAGCACTTTCCATGAGAAGGCTCCAGTCGGCTTTACTCACTGAATGTCACGCAAAACAGTTACAGCAAACTGCTATGTACAGAACAGGTAATTAGGTCCTACTGTCTACCACAGGGAACTATACCTAATAGCTTGTAATAGCCTACAATAGAAACGAATATGAAAACGAATATATGGATGTATAACTGATTTCACTTTGCTGTACACCAGAAACTAGGACAACGTTGTAAATCAACGTACAGTTGCAATTTAAAAAATAAAAAGGAAAGAAAATTAAAGCCAGCAACCACCGTGACTGCACAGACCTCATCCACAGACTCGCCTCCAAAGTGGGTGGAGGATGAAGTACTTGCAGAACGGCAGGAGGAAGACTTCGGAACATCTGCACCTCCATTAAAGCAATAAAAACAACAGCACAGCTGATCACTATCAACTGCTTCAGGATTTTAGAGAAAAACTAAAGGCTGTAACAACCCATGGAGTGTTGAGTCAAGAAAACACCCAAATCGCAGGAAGAAAAGTGAGTGTTACAGCATTGTAACTTGCCCCAAGTCCCGTCCCTCTCTCCCCAGCTCTGCAGTAGCATGAGAACTGGGCAGCTGAGCAACCACTGACGGGGGCAGGATAGGTTGGGGACACCCCCAAAGGCTGCATCTTCAGGGCTTGCGTTTATGTGACCTGACACAGTTTGCTCAGCAGGGGAAGCCCTATCCCCAAGGCATGTGATGAAACCCATCAGTGGTCAGTACTGAGGCAGGAATATCAGTTGGAACTAACACGAGGCTGGCTTGAAAACAAAAAAAGGTGTCAGATGAATGAAATGTCAATAGTGGCCTTTGAAGAGGTCCGACATGTTCCTGCACATGCATGTGCAGGGCTTGGTGTATGCCTAGGGAAGCCCAGAGAGGGTCCTCCTCTCCTCCCTGTGACCGACCCTCACTGAGGATCAGTGCAGACAGGAAGGGATGGCACATCCCCAACACGCAACAGAGACGCTGGGCAAAGGATGGGAGACTTGCTGGTTGAAGTGATTTAAGGACTCTGTCCGGTCATTAGCTAACCACAGAGGGACTTCAGTGGCTACACAACCAGATTTTACAACATTTGTCCAGGAAAGTCACGAAAGAAATTTCAACAATAAACAGAACAACAAACCCCAGGGGAGGACAGGGAGGATCTGATTTCCAGAGTTGCCACATTATTTTAAATACTCAGTTTTCAACAGCAACACAAAAATACAAAACATGCGAAGACACATTAAAAAAAGCACTCAATGGAAATTGTCCTTGAGGAAAGTCCAGATCTGGTACTTACTACAGAAAAAACTTTAAATTGTCAAAGAATTAAAGTGTCTAAAGGAAGAGCATTCATTTGAATACTTTCCCACCAAATAAAGAGCCAAAATTGTAAAAATGAACCTAATATAAATCTTGGAGTTTAGAAGTACAGTAACTGAAATGAAAAATTCACTACAGGGGCTCAGCAGGTGAACTGACCTAGCAGAAGAGTCAGGGAAACTGAGACAAGTCAACTGAAGTTATCCAGTCTGAGAAACAAAGAGGGAAGAATGAAGAAAGTGAGCAGAGCCGCAGGGCCCTGTGGGATGGCCTCAGGCAGAGTCACATGCAAACAATGGGAGCGCAGGGAGAAGAAAAAGGAACAGAGCCTGTGAAGCAGTAATGGCCTCAACCTTCCCAAATTGGATGGAGAATTTACATCTACGCATCCAAGAAGCTCAATGAACTCCAAATAGAATAAACTCTAAAAAGATCTACACCGAAAGGCTTCACAGTCAAATTCTGTAAAGCCAAGAACAAAGAATCTTGAAAGCAGCAAAAGAACAGCAACTCGTCACACAGAAATCGGGATCTTCAACAACATTAACAGCTGATTTCTCTCCAGAAACCATGAAGTGAGAAGGCAGTAGGAAGAGATGTTCCAAGTCCTGAGACTGTTAACTAAGAATTCTATACCCAGCAAATCTATTCTTCAGAAATGAAGGAGAAATGAAAACATTCTCAGATTTAAAAACAAAACCAAAAACCCTTAGAGAATTTATTGCTACCAGACCTGCCCTACAAGAAATACCCAAGAGAATCCTTCAGGTTGAAAAGAAAGGACACAGCGTAATAACTCAAATCCAAAAAAGAAAAAAAAGAAAAAAAAAGCTACATACAATCTCTGACCCTCAATTTTCTCATCTGTAAAATCAGAATGATGCCTAATAGGGATGTTGTAAGTATTAATATTAGTATTAAGTGAAATAATTCAGTACCAATCTTTATCTTAGACCCTAGTTTGCAGGAAGAGCTCAATACATTTTTCCAATACTTATATCTTAAAAAAACCCTCAAATCCACAGAAAGAGACAAAACACACCATTAAAGGCAACTACATGAGTAAGTATGTAAAGACAGTGTATTTTTTGTTTGTAACTCTTCTGTTCCTCTTCTCGGAAAATATCAACAAAATTGAAGAACCTGTACTGACGCTAGTGGGGATGGTGGGACAGGACAGAAAACTCAACATACTAAAATGTAGAATCAAAGAGAGGACGTGACTACCGACCGTACAGCAACAATCCAGGTTACAGGAGAAGACAATGAACAACTGCATGCCAACAAATTAGATAAGCAACTTGAAATGCACAAATTGTGAAAAAGACACAAAGTACCAAAGCTGACTCAAGAAAAAATAGAAAATCTTAGTAGATGTAATAAGTAAAAGTAGTTTTAAAATTTCCCAAGATTGCAAGGTGGTTTTAACATCCAGAAATGTCATACACCGTATCAATAACATAAAGGGGAAAAAAATCCACGATTCTTTTAACAGATGCAGACAAAGCATCTGCCAAAATCCAACACCCGTTCTTAAATAGAAAAAACACTCAACAAATTAGACATACAAGGCAAATTCCTCAACTCAATAAAAGTCGTCATCTATGAAAAACCCACACTAGCATCATACTCAATGGTGAAAGACTGAATGCTCATCCCCTAAAATCAGGAAAACCTCTAGGATGTCTGCCCTCATCACTTCTATTCAACACTTCTGGAGGCTATGGCCAGAGCAATTAGATAAGAAAAAGAAACAAAAACCACTGAGACTGGAAAGGAAGAAAACTCTATTTCTGCAAATGACATGATCATGTATTTTAAAAAATCCTCAGAAATTCACTGAAAAGCTATTAGAACTAATAAATGATTTCAGCAGAGTTGCAGGATACAAAAATCAACATAAAATTCAATTGAATATCTATATACTAGCAATGAAAAGTGTAAAAATTAAATATGAACTCCATCCAAAATAACCCCAAAAAAGAAAAAAGTAGGAATACATTTAACAAAAGACATGTGAGACCTGTACAATGAAAACTATAAACCTTCATTAAGAGAAACTGAAGAAGGGCTATAAAACCACGGAGAGACAGCACATGTTCACAGACTGGTGAGACTTAGCATGACGACGGCAGGACTCCCCAGAGTCATCTAGAGGTTCACGGTAACCCCCCAGTCCCACCCGCGGTGACTGTCTACACGGACAGGCTGGTCAACAAGTTTATGGGGACACGCAAGGGAACCAGAAAAGTCAAAACACTCTCCCACAGGGAACTATATTCAGTATCTTACGGCAAACCATCGTGGAAAGAATATGAAAAATAATGTGTATATAACTGAATCACTGTACTGTACACCAGAAACTCACTGTAAACCAACTATACTTCAATTAAAAAAAAAAAGTCTTCAACAAGAACAAAACTGGAGGAGTATATAAAAGCCGAAGTCGTGAAACTCTTAGAAGAAAACATGGGTGTAAATGTTCCCGACCTCATCTCTGGCAATTTCTTAGGTATGACATCAAAATTACAAATGAGAAAAGAAAAAAAAGAAAAGAAACTGGACCTAGAATTTAAAAACTGTTTGCTTCAAATGTCAATAAAATAAAATAAAATAAAATAAAATAATGGATAAAAAACTCCACAGATTGGTAGAAAATATTGGCAAATTTTATCTGCTGCCGATCTACTATCCGTAATATATAAAACACTCTTAACTCAACCATGAAAAGACTAATGGTCCAGTTGTAACTCAGGCAGAGGATCTGAAGAGTCATTTTTCAAAAGCAAATATACAGAGGCCCAATGAGCATATGAAAACATGCTCAAGGTCATTAGTCATTAAGGAAATGCAGTTCAAAACCACAGGGAGACTCCACATCCAACAGTGTGGGTAGAATTAGAAAGGCAGTGACAAGTGCTGACACGGATGGCGAGACACCGCATTCCTCACACCGCGCTGGTGGGCTTGTAAAATGGGGCGGCCGCTCAGGAAGGCAGTGGGGCAGCTCCTCAAACACTTCAGCCAAGAGTTACCGTATGACCCAGCAACTCCACTCCTAGTGCACACCCAAGAGGTTACACACAAACTTGTACACGAACGTTCACAGGACATTATTTATAACTCAAGAGTGAAAACAACCTAAATGTCCATCATCTGACGAATGGCTCGATGTCTACCCATACAATGGAATATTTATTCAGCCATTTAAAAATAAGTACTATTACATGATAAAAAAAAATTATACTAAGTGAACAAGGCTGGTCACAGGGACTGTCCTGTAGGAGTCCACTTACATGACACGTGCAGAAAAGGTAACCAGACACGTAACATAGAGGAAAGGCTGCCAGGGAAGAAGAGGGAGTGGCTGCTAACGGCAATGGGGCTTCTTTCACGGGTGATGGAATGTTACACAATCAGGCAGTAGTGAGGGTTACACAACTTTCAGTATTCAAAAAAACACTAGCTTGCACACTTCAGAGGAATGAATTATATGGTATGTAAATTACACTTCTCTTTTCTAAAACACCTTTATGAGATGTAAGTTCCTTACAATACTATTCACCTATTTAAACTGTACAATTTCATGGCTTTTATTATATTCATAATTATGTGCAACCATCGTCACAGTCATTTTCAAGAACATTTTCATCACCTCAGAGAGAAACTGTACCTTCCAGCTGTCATCCCTTCTCCCTCCACCTCTCCCCAGGCGAAGGAGTCTCCCTCCTACCCCTGTAGGCTTCCCTACCCTGGACATTTCATGTGCATGGAATCGTGTAACAGACACTCTTCTGTGATGGCTTTCACTTAGCTTTGTATTTCAAGGTTCATCCATGCTGTACAATTGATTCCTTTTTATGACCTAGTAATTTTCAGTCCACTGTATGCCTGTACCAGATATTATTTATACATTTATCAACTGATGGGCATTTAAATCATTTCCACCTTAATGCCAGTATAATGAATGGTGCTATGAACATTCATGCACAAGTTTTTATGTGGACATAAGTTTTCGAATGCCTTGGGGATTTACCTAAGAGTGGAATTGCTGGGTCATACTGTCACTCTGGGCTTGTTTGAGACACTTCCAAACTCTTTTCCAAAGCAGCTACATACACCACGTTGCATTCCCACCTGAAGTGTATGAGGGTTCAGATTTCTCTCCATCACACTTGTTGGTACCTGACTTTTTGATTCTAATTGTTCTAGTAGGTGTAAAGTGGTTCTGTTTCTATTTTACAAAAAAAAAAAAAAAGCAGTGGGAGAGCCCCCCAGGGCTTCAGACTGTCTTCTCCCGCAAGTGTTCCTGTGATGCCCGTTAGTCCTTGATAACTGCCTGGGAGGGAGCCCGACTGGCAATGTGGATGTGGGTCTGAGCAATGTGTCCTAACTGCTGCGGTTCAGACTATGCCAGGGCCACAGGCAGGACGCTCGCTGGGTGCGGCGTGTCCGAAGTCCTGCCTTGGCTCACATCCAAAGCGAAAGCTCGTGCCCTGCGGCAGCTGAGTGGCAGGAAGGGGCTGAAGGCTCAACTTCAGGGAACTCTACTGCAGCAGAACGGGCCGGGGCCAGGAACCCGAGGAACCACGGGTGGCACAGCTATCCTGGGGGATGCGGGCTGTGGGCACAGTTCCCATGAGAAGAATAGTAACAAAAAGCTCGGTACTTTTAAGGCTCCTTGCTGGACTGGATCAGGAGAAGGGAAGGCAAGCCTGCTCTCAGAAGTGGTGGTGGGCGGACACGTGGAAGAGGAGCCCTCGTGCCTGGACTTTGGCAGGCACGCTGGCTACTGCTGTGCCCCAAAAGTAACAAATGGATCACGGGGGGTCCCCCTACCCCAGGGGAGTGCCTGTTCAGGACATCACACCCAAGGCTTAGGGCAGACCAGGGGCACGAAAGGCAGCAGGACTCCCACCTGCCCAGCAGTTCCGGCCAGGACTAGGAATGCCCCCCTCGCTCCGGCTTAGAGCACAAACCAGCAACAACTCTAAATTGATCTCATTCTCTGAGCACATCTTACTGACCACGAAGCTGCATCATTTCTGTTTAAGTGTGGTGTGTCGTGTACGTCCGTGCCACGTGTGAGTGCCTGTGTGCGCGTGTGTCTGTGCTCAGCTGTTCACCATTTTCTGTGCTCTTTGCAACTGAAGTTGGATCCCGACCACCTCTGGTCAAAAACACGGCAAGCACCACATTCCAACAATCAGAAGGAAAAAAAAGAATTTAAAGCTGTAAGTGCAGATTCCAGGGCTTTTAAGACACAGCAAGAGTGCAAGTCAACACGAAGGAATTCTTTTACTATAGTAACTGTTCTCCCGAGACTCGTTCTTTCCTGCATTTAACCTTTCATTCTTGGGGTTGGAAAGAAACACACATTAAAAGCCCGGCCTCATACGCTGAGTAAATTCACAGCTCAACCCGGGCACCAGCGCCGTCTTGAAACAACACAACTATCTCCCTGTAACTGAACCAACTCAGGCTCCTCCCTGATTAAACGCACACACTCCACGAACCACATAATGAGGCGACGGCACAGTAAATACTCCGTGTGGTTTCACTGGGAAATAAATTGCGTCCAGCGGCTGATTGGTAACCATGGGTTGGGGTTGACTCTGATCACAGGAATCACTCCCGTAACGAAGAGCTCCTCCTGGCCGCCTTGCCCTTGGTGAAAAAAAGTTAGAAATCACGACCTTACCGCACACGAAACTGTCTGGTGGCACAGAGAAGATGCTCTGGCCCTTCAGCGACTCTGGGTGGGCACAGGTGGCCGTCACGAAGCCCTGCAGCATCCTGCCCAGCAGCCACGGGGGCAGCCACTTCAGCTGGCAGTCACACAGGAAGCTATCACTGCTGATGTGGCTGAAAGCAAAACAGAAGGGGTGCGTGAGGCATGACTGCAAAGGGGTACTTCCCCCTGCAGGGTCCGGAGTGATCCATCGCTTCCGACCGGCTTCTGTCGTGAACATCAGCAAGCTCGAAGGGGAGATGATTTTTGTCCCAGTTCCTCCCTGGGGACTGAGAGGAGTACGTACAATCTACCTGGAGGCTGTGATGACAGGCAGCTCTGGCCCAGCGTGTCAGGCATGTCTAACGAGTCACCGCACCTCAAGTAGCCACAACCCGGGGTTCGCACACGCGCTCAGACAGCCGCTGCTCTCACGGGCCCCGGACGTCGTCTTCCGGCCCCTGACCCCCCCACACATGAGGAGCACCCACCGTTTCCCATCCTCCTGATATACGCTTGGAGCTTCTCCCCTCAGACTCTGGTTTAAATTCTGAAACGAGTCCTGAGAAGGGCTCTTTTTCCCCATGGCTGTCTACTTCTGTTTGGCAAAGCTTTGTGTTTTCTTACTTCCAGATGTAAGCTCACCCGTGTGCCCCTCTAGTTGTGTGTGTGTGTGTGTGTGTGTGTGTTCGTCTGTCCACACCAGCTTGTGTGTGTGTGTGTGTGTGTGTGTGTGTGTGTGTGTGTCCGTCTGTCCACACCAGCACTGCTCACGAGGCCCGCAGAATCCGGCCCTGCTCCCTAAATAGTGCTCGTTAGTTAATTGCCGCTGCCCAGGGAGCATGAGAACGCACAACTTGGGTTCTGGGAGGCTCCAACCAAAACAGAGAATATTTTCTTTTTCATTTCTCAACAACTGAGGATAAGCTTTTTCAACAGAAATCGGAATCGCCATCTCAGCGGACATTCCTTCCCGAGGAGTCACTCGAAGATAAGTCAGCCGAGGAGCGCAGCGGCCCTGTTCCTGGAAGACCTCCGGCCGGGGGCTGCAGAAGGGAGGGCAGCAAGCGACGAGGATGGAGACGGAGACAGGAGTCACTGCGTGGGCTTCCCTGGAATAAACTGTCTCTGGTACGTGGGGACAAAGCAGGGCGCTGGGATGCTTAGAAATTCCACAAAGTTCCCGCGGGCTGATGCTAGAGCAGCAGCTCCTCCACCCACCACCTTCCTCGGGCCCGTGTTCTGTTTTCTTCTCTCATGCTCTGCCCTTCGTCTACTGAGTACAGAACCCGTCGAACTGGTCCCGGGCCAGGCAGTGCACTGGACGGCACAGGCCCTGCAGCTGACGAACTCACATACACGATCTGCTCTTCCCTCCTGTTTCTCACCGTTCCCAGATAAGCGGGGCATTTTCATCCATTAAAATCGTTGTGGAAAGTGCTTTCTCAAAGACTGAATAACTGAGCTCAGAGCCATTGTAACTGGGATGCTTGCCCACGTAAGACCTTAAAATCAGCGCTACGTTTTGCATTTTTATTTGACGGGCTGGTAGGTCTGTCCTTAGAGATGTGGGACGCTGTTCGCTGAGGAGTTACTGGAGGAGGAGGAGGCGGAGGCGGGGTGACGAAACACCCGCATCCCACGCAGCATGTGCAGAGCTTCCCAGACAGGCTGTGGGTGGCGCTGGGAAGGGTGCCCCAGTGAAGAGAGGAAAGGGCCTCTCCCACTGTCAGAAGCACCTACAGCTTCCCAGCAAGGGGGCAGCTGGTGCGCCTGCCTGTTTCTGCAGGAAGGCCTGGGTACTGCACCTCCAAGTCCAGCGGGTGACGCTGGGCCATCCCGTGAGACTTCAGGCACTTCTGCTGGGGACAGGGACATATTTCCTTTGAACCACAGGAACAAACTGGGGAAAACAAATCTGACATTTATCCATGACCAGAAGTGTGCACGGAAAGGGTTAAGCTTCATATCACACATTCAGGGTATGTGCGGGCCGAGCTCCCTGGAGAATCTCCAACCTCCTACCTGAAACTCCTCTAACAGAGGGGTCCCGACCTCAGAAGGCAGTGGGTACTTGAGGGGAAGAGGCTGTCCTAAAGAATGTGTTAGGATTATCCGGAGAGAAACGGAGGCAAACAGTGAGGGCCCTGACCTCCCCTCCACATACACGTTCCCTCCAAGACCAGGGCCAGCTGGAATGACTCGACGGGGGTCTGGCGGTGACCCCAAGGCCCTGCAGACTCCTGCTGCTCTTCCAACTAAAAGTGCAGCCTTGTCAACTGCTAACAGCACGGCCGTCCGGGCTGCCGCCTCCAGCCATCCCAGCACCACTGGCTTCCATTGTGCATTTTTTATGGTTCCAACTCCAAGTGTGTTTCTAATCATCGCTCGTGGAAATTTACCCAGAGGATGACTAAGTGCCCAGCACAACCTGCCTTGATCTGATGCGGGAAGAAAATGACCAAGTGGGATTAACCATTTCTCCAGTCAGAGGGCTGGGCCCAGGGCCCGCCACAGCTGGGTACATGCAGCGACTGATGGGAAGCCCAGGCAGGGGGGCCAAGGCTGAGTCCTCAGAACCACGCAGAAGCCTGGGGGAGGGGGGGGGGGTGCCAGGCACCTGGAAGGATCCAGTTATTCCCAATTAGAAAACCATCCCAATTAGGAAACCTGAGCTTACTGGAGGCAAAAAGGAAAATCACTCCCTGTCCTGCCCTTTCTCTCAAAATACCCTCTTCCCTTTAATCAGATCCAACACTGTATTTGGGAAGTTTCAAAAACGGAAACACTGAAAGAAATGCACAGTGAACACTCACGGACTCACCACTTAGATTTTACAATGAAAGCATTGCGATACCTGCTTTATCACACATCTATTCGTGGAGCCATCCTTCCACAAACTCCCATCCGGAGATCACAACCCTTCTGAGAAAGAGAACTGATCGACTTGATAGACTCGAATCTCACAGCACACTGAGCGGCGCACGGCGGGGCCCAGGCCACCTCCCCTCCGCTCCCACACTCACCCAGAGGACCATCTTCCTGCTGTGGTTTCCAGCTGCGGGGACTCTGCCTCCCTGTCTCCCCATTCCTACCCTTCCCACTCCTGTCAAGGAGTGGCCTCGGGAACAAGGACGAGGTCAGGGCGCAGAGACAGCCACTGGCATCTGCCATCTTGTCAGAGCTTTAAGAATCCAAACCCAAAGGCTGCAGCATCACATTACCATACACGGAGGAGAAGGAAACTTGGGTGTGGCTACTTGAAAACTCAGACGGGCTCCTCTGCCAGAGCCAGGACACAGGTAAGCTGTCTAACCCCTGCACCCGCGGACCCACAGGGCAAGTCCGCAGGGCAGCACCGCGGCCTCGGAACCCCCCGGGGGCCCTGGACACAGACGTAGGCTGGGCGCCGCCCCACTGCCCCACAGTTCAGGTGTCCATCCCATGGAGAGCTCTGCCCCGGCCACAGCCCACCCGGCTCTTTAATACAGACCCTTCACTGTGGGCACCCCCAAAAGATGAAAACTTGTCCTTGACGTCCTTAAAGGGCTGATTATCCGTTTTACAGGAGAGAGTTTATTAGCAGTTAGTGAACCATAGCCTGCAGGCCCCCTACCTGTTTTTGTAACAGGAATTTACTGGCCCAAACCCACACCCTGTCGTCTGTGCTTTGTTTACAGCCGCTCTCCGCTACAAGACTCAAGTCGTCCTGGCAGAGGCCCGCCCTGCGGCCCACAAAGCTGAAAATATTCACTGTGGTCCTGGAAGAGAAAGTGCGCTGACCCCGATCCAAAATCTGCCCCCTATGGAGCAGGCTGAGACCATCTAACTTACACACAACAATAAACGATCACAGCTGTCCTGTGAAAGGGGGCAAGACGCAATGAAGGGACTTCTTACTCTGAAATTCGCTATTCTTGTTAACCAGGGCCATGGATCCCAAGTACTTACAGCTCTTTTAGATTCTTCATCTTCACAAAGGCATCAAACTGGACAGATCTGATCGCATTCTGTCCAAGGTTTCTGAAAAAGAACACTTTCCGTCAGGCAGAGAAGCTGCAGTGCTCCTTCAAGTCAGCCACGTGTTTGCAGCAAGATGCTCAGGGATTTTGCCCGAAAGCCCTGGTTCTGCCGATGAACCACAGGTACTAGCCGTACACCCATGTCCTAAGTCTTCCGCAGGTGGCTCTTACTTCACCCACAGCGACACGGGCACTGGGAATTACTCTGGACCCACGCCAGCCTTTAGGGGAGCATCAGTGCTCAGTCGAGGCCCGCTCAGCGAGTCAACAGGCAAAAAGCATTCCCAACAGAATTGCGGTTGCACTTGATTCACAGACAAACTAGGAGTCAAGCGGGACAGGCGGCCGCCTCAGAGGTGACATCACGAGCTTCTCCGGGCCGGTTCCCCCTCCCCCCCCCCCCCGGGGTTTTCGGGGGCGAGCACAGGAGGGAACGCCCAGCCACGCCCAGGGTGGACTCAGCGCTGCGGGGCTGCTTTAGGGCGGCACCAGCCTGAGGAAGGGCACAGCGACCTCGTGGAAGTGTCGCGGGGCAGGGCCCGAGCAGGGGCGGGCGGCGGTGAGGCCGGGCGGGCGGACGCAGTGGGGCACATCTGAACACCCAGTGGACATACGTTCTGAAACCGTTCCTGGCATATAATAGGGCACCACGAAGGCCAGAGTTGAAGCTGACTTATAATGAGCAGGAAGCAGCTGGCATTTCCAAATAGCCTGTTTCTCGCTTTACAAAGATGCGATTAAATTGCTAGCAGACTTCCCCAGCAGCCGCACTTGGCAGGCCCGCGCGGGTCAGGGAAGGTCTGGCAAGATACTCACAGGTGTTCCAGGCCTTCCAGCCCCAAGAACGCTCGCTTAGCCACAGACTTGATCTTGTTTCCAAACAGAGTTCTGCAGTTTCCGAACAGCCAGGAACAGAGGTGAGGCGGCCACAGGAGGGAGAGCAGCAGACAAGGGAGGGTGGGGAGACAGAAGACACAATTAGGGTGGTGCTATATAAGTCTGTCCGCGGAGGGGCAGGTGGAAATCTGACCTGTGCTGAGATTACACGTCTGAAGCAGGCGGGCCCTCTCTCTTCTGAAATAAAACACTTTTATCTTCATTAGAATTTAACAGTGATGACAGGTAGGAATTGCATCGTCTCGCCTAGCAAGGCCCCTTGTGGTGTTAAGTGGGAATCACCCGGTCCAGCCCGGGCAGTCTCTCTCCAGGGACCACCCACGGGTGAGGGTGAAGTATGGCCCTGGTCTCGTGGATCAGGGGGTCAACCCATCACTGCTTTAGGGAGCGGAAGTTGGGTCTAGAGAGCAAGCTCTTGGGACTGAAAACTACCACCCACTTCTAAAAACTGCATTCTGGGAAAAAGGAGCCCAAAGGAGTCAAGAGAAAGGACAGCACGCAACCACGGAGAAGGCCCCCAGCTCTCTGCACCCTCAGTGCATGCGGGCTGCGTGAGCTGCATCCCTGCCTACGGGAAGGCCCCTCAGCTGTTTAGCAAGAGCCCAGATTTTATATGATGCCAATGGCCCAGGGTTTGTTAAATCCATCCCACATAGACAAGTCCTCAAAGCTCAACCTCCAAGGCTATACAAGGCCTGGACCTGGACCGTATGCTTGTGAGAAGGGGTCCTGTCTCCACGCTACTCCGACCACAGTCTTGGCAGTGACTGCCAAGAGTTTTCTCAGAAACCAAAGTCTGGCCCCTGCGTTGTACGCGTCGAAGGGACGACGGCCTCTTCCACGGGCTGTGTCATCCAAAGGAAAGAAGGGCAGTGTCTGGACATGGGGTGGGGGTGGCCCCTAAGTGCCTGGACCCTGGGGATAAAAAGCATCGTGGTTTCAGTTTCCCTTCCCCCTTATCAGGTGCTCCTATGGGAGCCCGGGAAACTGCCAGCCAACAACTGACATCAGGCTGATGGGGCGGGGGCTCTGTGACTGTGTGTCCACCAGGGTCCTCTGACGGGCAGGTGAGGAACAACAAGGGCTGCTGGGAGCCAGCTCCTGGGACGTCTCAGAACCACTGGTCTGGGCTAGGGACGCTGAGGAAACAAGTGCAGGTGGTTAGGGCAGAAAGCCTTCAAGGAAGCCCCGCCGGCTAAGCCCCTCACCAGGAGTGGGGACTCCTTGTCTAGATCACACTGAGGATCAGGGGAAAGATCTCGACTAAAGGCCAGCTCTACCTTCAGACCTGCGTGTGGGGACCCACGAGGGGAAACGGCAGGCACCAACCCCTCCCTGGAAAGAGGGAACAAAGACAAAGGTGGCACGGCGGCCTGGCACTGCACACGTGGGCAAGTACCAGAAGGCCGCCTCCAGGGAGACGGGTGCACATGTGCAGCAGTTCTAGCCTGCGCCCAGAGACCCGGGGGACCACCTGCTTCCCACACAGCTGCACCCCAGGCTGCCTCAACCCCCCCGCGTCCCGACAGGCTTCTCTTCCGGGTCCTGGGCTGACGTGGCCCCACCAGGAACTCTGGGCTCAGCCCTTAGACAAAGCCAGCTCTGTCCCCAGCCTCCGGAGGGGAAAGGCGTGCAAACATCAAACACCCCTTAGCCTTTTCCCCTCCTCGGAGGCCGCCTGCGCGGATGTGAAAACCACCTCGTCCTGAAAGACTTTCTACAATCACTCAGTCTGAGCCTTTTATTCTAAAACAAATAAGCCAAACACCCAGGAACCCGGTGGCTGCGCTACCTCGGGCCCCATCCCCGAGCGCGCCCAGCCAGCACCGCCCATGGGGCACCGAACCCCACCCGGAGCACACGGCCAGCCTCCCACTTACTCACCCTCCCCCCAGGCTCCAGGTCCCAGGAAAATGTATTGAACTGTTTAGTGAAGTCTTCCGTCTGTGAGATTCAGGAAAAAAGCTGTGCTTTATTTCACCCATTAAATATTAGTCACACTGACCTCTTTTACAAGGAGGGCAAGCTGTTACTCCTAATGGTGACAATCGCAATAAAACAAATTCCCAAGTTCTCAATTGTGCAGGGGCTAATCATCTGGCTGCTGGATTAAACTAGGTCCTCACGTCCCCCAGCAGACGTCTGGGGGCGGGGGCGGGGCTGGGCTAGCCGACTGTGAGGGTTCCAATCAGAGGCCACTGTGTGGAGAGAGGACGGGGCCCAAGGACCAGGACGACGCTCCTGCCGCCCCATACGCTGGGGGCTCCTGGGACAAGACTGCATCTGACCCAGGGCTCCCAGAGCAGGGCCCCGCATCGCCCACATGGAGCAGACACCCTGGGAAGCATCTGTCAGGTCCTCTCCCTCATCCCCAGCCAACCCGGCCAAGGGCCTTCTGGCTCTCACTAAAGCAGCCCTGCAGACCCTGACCAGGAGTGACCATGACCTGTGCACCCCGCCTCCAGCCATGAGCTGTGTCACTCAGTCCCTGCCCCCAGTGATGCAGGGAGAGAGCTGGAACCGTGGGGCCACACCTGCATCCCCGCCATACACAAGTGACTCCTCTCTGCAGCTGCCCTGTGCTCAGAAAGTCTCCCTTCCCTCCTCACACGCTATGACGCATGGTGGGCCCCCAGCAGGTGACCCATGAACATTCTGGAAGGGGGCTGTCGGGTTGGAGGGTGATAATGCCTTGCCAGCAAGCTCTGGGTTGAAGAACTAACCCAGAATGGCTGTGTCTAGCAGCAGGACACATGAGGGCTGGGCGCTCTTCACAGAACGAAGCCTTCCATGGCTCTGCTGCTCACTTATCCCTTTCCTGGGAAATGTTATAATTTCGGGCTGGCCTCAGCCACGGCAGGAAGGACCCCAGGTCCTCGACGAAGCAAGTGCAGGCCAGAGAGCGTCTCCACCTTCTCCTTCGAAGGAAGAGGCCTGGCCTCCACCTGTCAGGTGCTGCCATGGCCAAAACCCAGCCAGTCCAGGGGATTCAGAGCCCTGACGGCAGCCTCACGGGATGAAGGCATTCGTGGGACCTGGCAGCTCTGGGGGGGGGCAGCTTCCTCCACTCAGACGCCCCCCACACCTAATGGATCCAACAGACTCGCCACCAGGCCACTCCAACAGGGCGGGTGATGCAGTGTCAGGACCATGTCCAGGCAGTGACGCCGTGCCAGGCAGTGCTGTGCCAAGACCAAAGCCTTCCTCCATTCAGTGAATGTTGACTCAACACAATGAGCAATTAGGAAGGTGGGTCCAGGCCCGACACAGGTTAGGGGGGACCCGCCACCCCTCACAAGGCAGGAAGGGCCTCCACATGCTGCTCAGTGGTTTTTACCCAGAGCTGTGCACCGGCTTCACAGGAAAGCATTTGCTTTCCTTCTTCCCTTTCAACATAGACGATTCCATCCACCGTCACAAGCAGACGGAAGAGTGTCGTGCACCCCATGTGCCTGTCACACGGCTGCACCCATCGTCGAATTGGCCAGACCTGCTTCATCTGTACCCGCTTTCCGTCCCCACCCGGCTGGACCACTGGGAACCGGCAGCAGACAGCTTTCTTCTTTCACCCAAGGAGATGCTTTGTTTTCTTTTGCAATGTAACCACGATACCATCCCACCTAAGTAACTGTCTTTTTAATCATATTAAGGAATGACTGTTACTGTCCCAGTTTCCCCCAGTTGTGTGCATCTGGTTTTTTCAAAAGCATACAAAAGCCGCCAGCCCACTTCTGATCAGAATCCACCTCTCCAGGGGCCAGGCTGTGTTACGCAACCTGGGTGGGAGGAGACTGGACGTCACAGGTCAAGGTTCACCCACTGCTCCCAGGGAGCCCATGGCAAACAGCCCAGCACAAGCAAGGAACATGGCGCTCGTGCCATCTTGCTGGCACCTAACGTGGAACGGACAGGCCCGCTCCAGCAGGTCAGAATAGGAGAAAACGCTGAGGGGAGAGAAACAGGCAACAGGAAGGCGGCTCCAGGCTATGGACTCTGCAGCTTTATGCAGAACCAGACGCCCTGGTGCCCACAGGGGTCTCACCCCTCCCATGGCAGGGCTGAGCCTCCTGGAAGCCACGACACCCGGAAATGGCTCCAGGTTCCACCAGAAGGACATGTCTGTGAAGGACTGGACGGCATTGTCCACTGTCCCCACCACAGCCATCCATTAGTCACAAAGAGGCAGAGGCCAGGCAGGCACGCAGAGTGAGGCTGTGCCTCATGGCCGTCCAGGTGCCCACCGCCCCCTCCCCACAGCAGCCGCACCCTGAGCGCAGGCTCCCTTGATCCAAGACACCCCGTCTGCTGTCCTGGCTCTTCCCAAGCTGGCTGGGAAAAGGGCCCAGGAGGTGGGGGAGGAGGCAGCATTTTTCTTGGGGGGGGGTAAAAGACTGACAAGCCTTCCTGACCCACCCACAGCACACAGGGTGCTCGGGAAGAGATGGGGTCCTCTGAGAGCCAAAACAGTTTTTACTTACTTGGAACTCTCAGAGGGATCAGAGGTGTGAAGAACCCCACTTTTCAAAACAAATTAGGAACATTAACTCCACGGAAAGACCCTCCCACCACAGATTGTCCTGGAGCCTCACCTCCCACGGCTGCTTTCCAAATATTTACTTTACGCTTGTGCTCCGCCTGGCTCACTGTCACCGCAACAGGCAGGGGAAGATGGAGCGGTGACTGTCTCCTGTCTTGTCCTCCTCCAAACCTGCCCTGAGTCATCATCGCTCCCATCCCCACTCCTGGATGCTCTTGGGGCGGCAGTGCAGAAAGTGCTGGTAAGAGGCACAAAGAAGGGAGGACAAGGGACGCACGACGCGGGCTTCGGAGCCACACAAGCGACTCCTGGCCCTGCCGCCTACCAGCTGTGTGATCTCGGGCAAAGCTCCTTCACCTCTCTTTCCTCAACTACAAAAAGGTTGCATAACACAGCCTGGCCTCCTGAGATAGTTAGATGTAACACACACACACACACACACACACACACACACACACACACACACACACGCACACACGCGCGCCTCACAAAATAACTACTGAACTCTAGAAGCTTAAAAAAACAAACCCCAAACGCCGGAAACTCTGAATGAAAAAGAGCCACTGCACCACCCCCGGTAACAACTGTTTCCGTTTAAGATTATGACTGACAACAAAAACCCTGCCCGAAGACTCAAAACCGTCGAGAGTTGCTTGGTTTTAGACGTTTAGGATTTCTAGAAATTGAGTGAGAGGGCAAGACTCCTTCGAGCAAAGAACAAGAAAAAAACTTGGCCGTTTTTGCCTCAGTCCAGAGCGCAGCGGGAGAGCAGCCCCCACACCGGCTCTCTGGCCGCGAAGACACCGACGCCCAGGGCAGCGAGGACACCGCGGGCCCGAGACGTCGCCGTGTCTCCTGCCCCGAGTCGGGCTTTTCTTCCCAAATAAGAGAAGATGAGCGTGCAAGGGCTCCCCCGGGCGGGCGCAGGGCAAGGAGGTGTGGGGCCCGGGGAGCCGGCCCCGCGCCCGATACTCACAGCTTGCTGAGGCTGTCAAGCCCCGTGAACGCGCCACTCGTGTCCTCGATTGTGCCGGAGATCTCGTTGTGGTCCAGATCCCTGCGGAGGGGACAGAAAGCTCACCATCTGGCCTGCAGTGGGAGAACAGACTCCCACCCAGGCGGCCGCCTGACACTCGCACCGTCCCGGGGTGTGCTAGGTGCACAGACAGAATGTCTGGTGAAGATGAGAGGCGTGACCACTGAGCCACCCTGCCCCGCGGCCTTGCCTCTCTCAGCCCCTCAACAGACCTGACACATGCCTCAGACAACAGCATCCCGACTCCATCTGCTGTGCCCCTGTTGGCTAAGGCCAGCCCCGGGGAAGGGGCACAGAGGGCAGGCAAGGAGGGAAGTCTGCTTGGAATTCTGTCCCCAAAGAGTGGACTTCTGGCCACAGCTCTGAGAATGAGCCTGAAAGGTTCCCTGCGGCTCCCATGTGCCTTCATAGCAACCAGGGTCCCTTTCCTGGACTTGATCGAGAAACCGCAGAAAGCACATGGAGGAAATAGTGAGGGAACACAGAGGCACAGGCACGGGGCCCTCCCTGGGGCCACCACCATACTGGCAAGTGGTTTGAGCCCGGAGCCCCCGTCTCCCCCTGGGGCCTGCACAGGTGCTGACTCCCGGCCAGGGACATCTGGGTGCTGAGTCAGACTTGCGACTCGCCTGCCAGGATGGGAAGATGAGGCCAACTTTTCAGCCCAGTCTCCTCCAACAATGCACATCACAAGGCCGATGACTCAGCTTCTGCCCTGGGGTTTCCAAGGGCAGGTCACAGCGCCAGGCGAGACGTCCCACCTGGCGACCAGGGCCCCCGGCTGCCCCGGCTTGGCCCTCTCCAACTTTCCACAAGGTCTCCTACACCTTCCTCTCCTAAGCCCTGCCAGGCACAGGCCAAGAACAGAAAGGGATGCTGTTCTTGGCAGCAGAGAGGGGAGCTCTGACTGCAAAGTGAAACGCTCGCTCTGACCTTTATTTTACAGCAGGAAGCTCCGAGAGCCGAGATCCTGGGGCTGGAAGGGACTTTTCCTTTCAGTGGGTCCCTCCCTATTATCTTTGTGCTGAAAAACCCAGGACATGGGGCTGTGCTTTGTGTGCCTGCCCCCTGCTCCTCGCCTTGGCTGCCAGAGTTTTTCTCTCTTCTCTGGCTCGCTCGGTCTGAATGTTCCTGGCCTTGTTCTTCGGCACCGCGAGGGCTCGGAGGCCGACCTCGGCTTGAATAGCCTGGCGTCAGGCCCTTTCACACCGCCCCCACCAGCAACAGCCCGGCATTCAAGCCTCCCCTGCCTTCCCTGCCAGGTGCAAGTGCAAAGGCCTTCCTTCCCGTCGCACACGAACAGGCCACGTTTCCTGCAGGGGGCGCTCCTGGGAGGGAGGCCTCGGAACCCACAGCCACTGCCCGTCGAAATCCAGACGCCCTTCTGTTCTTGCTGCCTGAAAGTTCTCAGAACCCAACAACTGAAAAACTATAACCCCAATAAAGCCCCCTGCAGCAACTTCTGACAACTTCTTCCACATTGTCGGGAACTTAGATGGAGACGACATGATTTTGTCAAAGTGACCCTAAAGACGCTCAAGGCGAGACAGGATTCGCTCACCACCTCTCCGAGAGATGGGCGTCCTGCACACGGGAGAAGCTGCAATGCCAGCCTGAGACACGCGCTTCAGCACTGACCTGGCTCAGGTAAAAACACCCAGGACTTCAACACAGACGCCACCCGGGAACTTCCCAGGTGGCATCTGTGTTGGAAAGATGGCCCACTGGCACCCATGCTGGGAGTGGCTGCACACAGCCTGGGACGCCTTCCTTGCAGGACCCCGCGCCCCGCCAGGTGCAACTGCGGCACTTGGGGACAAGATTTCTGAATCATCATGTCAGGCACTACCTTGGGGAGCGTGACATTTTTCTGCTCAACCAGCTCTTTTTTCATGTACTACATGAAAGTTTGAGACTGCACACATTACAGGGTCAGCTTTGGCCTCAATTCTGACTCAAAACCGGTGAGAAGAGAATTTGGCAGAGCCGCTGGTTTTGCTCTGTTCTGCTCTCCCATCAACCCAACGCTGAAGGACGTACAAGACACGCAGGCTCTTGAGTCCCCGGAAGGCGCCTTCCGCAATGTGACTGATGGAGTTGTGGCTGAGGCGCAGGATGCTCAAGCTGCTCAGGTCGGCCAGGCTCTCCTCGTCCAACCGGGTCAAATTATTGAACGATAGAATCCTGAGGAAGGGAAGGGGAAAGCAAATGTGACCACTGGGTTGCACGATCGCCCTCTCTCTTCTCCTGAACGTGGAGCCACGGCTGGCCAGTAATCTGGGTCAGACTGAGAAGGGACAGGCCCACAAGAATCCTGGTGGCAAAAAGATCTCAGCCAGAAACCCACTGGGGCCGAAACCCATATAGTTTGACTCCCGGAAGGAGGTCTGTAAACTGTGAGGACTACACAAGGTCACACAACAAAGACCCACAAAGTTCCATCCCCTTCATGCTCCTGGTGTCCATGGCTGGTCCTGACTGAGGCCAAGACCTGTCACAGCTGCGGCCTGATACTGTGGACAGGACCCCAGAGGGTTCTCACAGTGAGTAAGGGAGCCGGTTAGCCTCTCGAAACCAGCCAGCAGAGGGCACCACTAGCCACTGCCTGGAGCAAGTGTTCCTCCCCAGACACCAGGCCTTACCTGGGCAGCACCTGAGGGACAGGATTCTCCCATCTGGGTGTCCCTGCCCTCACCCACGCCCGCCTCTTACCATGATCCCCCTACTGTAAGCAGGACAGGGAACATACCCCCAAATCACCCACCTTCCCTGAGCATCAGAATCGAACCTTCCTTCCTTCCAGCACACCCTCTGCACCTCGGACAGCCCTAAGCTGCTTACTTAGTATATTTGTCAACTGCCATTGAAAAATGGGAGCTTTGGGCTGGGGCAGGAGGAAGGAAAATAAATTTGGAGAAGATTAGTAAGTTTTCAAAGGTAGCAGGGAGTGACAGTCTTTCTCCCCTGGAGAAATAAGTCATGGTGTCTGTCACTGGCAAAGACCTGGCAGGAGACCAAAGTTACATCCTCACCTGCAATTAAAGAATTTAGCTTAAAGGAGGGGCGGGACACACATGCTGCAGAACAACCCTAAATCTGGCTCCAAGGCTCCCTGGGTGTCGGGCAGACTTCCATGACCCTCTCTGTCCCTTCCGAAGGGCACAGGGAGTGTGCCTCTCACCACTGCCTCAGCACCAGGGCGCGCACACCCGCCACGACCCAGGGGCGGCGGCTCCTCGCCTGAGCAAGTGCCCGAGCTCAGGCTCAGGGCGGGAAGACCTCACTTGTTTCCCCCCGGCTCCCAGGCCTGGACAGCAGGAAAACGTGGGTCCTGGGAGCTCCCTAGTGGGGTCACAGCCTACTGAGTGCAGAGCCTTTCAGAAGCCATCCTGTTCCATGTGAGAATACCGGGCAGCTGCACTGCCTGGATGGTCAGGAAGGCAAACTCAAAGGGTTAACATACCCGCACAGTCACAGAACCCAAGGAAAGTGAGCCTGGAGGCAAAAGGCAGGACTATTGATTTTTGCATTAGGTAATGAGAGACTCACTGAAATATAAACTCCAGGTCACTGTGGGGCGGGTGTGGAGGGGGTGGGGGAGGATGGCGCAGGGGGCAGAATGAGGGAAAGGGGGAGAACGTGAATGAACAGATAAAAACACCAGCTGCAAGACTCAGCAAGAACATTAAACATATTCTTAAGTTTGCCTGGTGAGGTCAACAGACAGACAAGAAAGACAAAGGCCTGGCCCTCTTCATCATTCACTTTAGTGGGTGAATCTTTTCCCACAGTGAAGCCTAGAAAAAAGGAAAACCCATCCAACCTCTCTTCAAAAAAAAGTAAAGGAACATACTGGACTAGACCAGAACGGAGAAACCCTGAACATATAAAACTGAAACCAAAACCACGGTGAGGAGCCGCTTTTTTCCTCGAGAAATCTCAACCTTACAGACGTGGGGCTGTGTCCTCCGTGTCCTGGGCCATCCCACTTTCATGAGCCACAACCCACCGGGACATGGCAGGACAGCCCAGGCCCCAGCCCTCCCCGCCCAGGAGAGAGCCTGTCGCTCACTGCTGGTGTCAGGACCCGCGGGCCCCAGCGCAGCGGATCCAGCCCCGGCCTGGAGGCCTGTCTGGGAAACCTCCTTATGCAAAGTGTACGCACACATTCCTGTTGGCCTCCCTAACAGACCAAAGGGGACGCAAGTAGGGGAAGAAAAGGTGCCTGGGCTACATGTCTGAGGGAAGGACGGGGGGAACTACACTGGAGCGGTTCTCCCACTGTCTGTGTGCCAGCTCTCGGGGTCACTGTCCTTTCTGTGTTTGAGCCCAAATACGGGCATACCTCGTTCATTGTGTTGCTCTATTGTGCTTTGTAGAAAAAATGGAAGGTTTTGGCAACTCTGTGTGGTCAGAGGATGGAAAGCATTTTTGAGCAGTAAAGTATGCTTTAATTAAGGCTGCCCATCACTTTTTTAGACATAATGCTACTGCAAGCTTAACAGGCTACAGTGAAGCATTATAGATGCTTTTACATGTGCTGGGGAACGATACCGTATCACAGCATTTGCTTTACTGTGGTGCCCTGGGACTGAATCTGCCCGTGGGCCCGCTCACTACAGACGCGCATGTCACCTGCTGCAGCTGCTCATGCGCAGACGCTCTTGAGAAGCGGTCCCTAGCAGGGAGGGTACAGCTCAGGGGTAGGGCACATGCTCAGCATGCATGAGGTCCTGGGTTCCAACCCCAGTGCCTCCATTAAATACATACATACATACATATTGTTTGCAATAAACCAACCAACCTAAATTACCTCACCCCCAGGCCCCCTCCCAAAAGAACAGCTGTCCTTCACAACAGCCCCTGCTGAACTGAAACAGGATGCAGGCTGGAAATGAGGTGGGAGTCAGGCTCCAGTGACTGAGGCCCGCGGGGTCTCCCTCCAGGCCCGCCTAGGGGGCTCCATCCACTCTCCCCCCAAGCTGGCTGGGCTGGGGGATGTGGAGGAGCCACCATGTGTCCGTGGACACTGCTACCCACAGAGCGGAGCGGGGACACTCACAGCTCGTGCAGCTTCTGGCAGAAGCTCCAGCCGTCGCGGTTGATTCGGGAGATGGAGTTGTTGCCGAGGTGGAGCTGGTGCAGGGCCGAGAGTCCATAGAGCGAGCCGCTGTTCACCTCCGCCAGGCTGTTGGACTCCAGGTGCCTGCAAGGACAGCCGCACAGGGCGGGTGAGGAGGACCCCCGAGGGGCGCGCCCCCCCACCCCCCGAGCGGCCAGCCAAGGGGCAGCTTCCCTGAGTCATAGCCCAGTTGGCACCTAGGATCCCACAACAGTGCCGAAGATGTGCGAGATGTGCACCTACGTGTGTGTACATGTGCACACACCTGTGCAAGGGGTGGGTAGTGACAAGCAAAGCAACGCACAGGGTGCTGAGGACCCAGGATGCTTTAGATGTTCAGAGCCAAGGGGAAGCTTCTTAGAAGCGAACTTTTTAGCTGAGTACAGGCGAACCAGGCACACCTGTGGGCAGAGGAGCTCCGAGCAGAAGGCGGGGCCCATTCAAGGAAGAGAAAGATGAGAGCCGGGGAGCAAGCTCTCGTCATTATCCCCATCTTGCAGATGCAGAAACTGAGGCTGAGAGAAGGCTGGTAACCTAAGACCCTTCCACAGTTCAGCCAGCCGTGAGGGGCCAAAATTCAAGCCCAGGTCTGGCTAATAACCAATCGGGGCTCTGGACTCCCAAGCCAAGACACACAGCTTTAGCTCTGGGGTCAGACTCCTTGGGTTTAGATCTCAATTTTGCCACCTGGCTGGGAGAGCCTGAACATCCATCAAGCAGAGGTGCCCAACAACTCCACAGGGCTGTCGTGAGACGAAAAGGCAGGTCAGAATCTCAGCACTGTGCTGAGAAAGCAGCTCCTGCTCGGTTTCTAAAGTAAGGACGTCACTACGCCCCGGCTTCTCGATGCCACACAGCCCGGCCACGGACGCTGCCGCCCCATGGGACCGGCCTCGTGAACACAAGCTGATAATTCAAATGCTGCTCCACGTTCAGTATTATGAGGGCTTCAGACAACCAGGTTTCGCTTTCACCCACCTTACTTTCTGCTTCTGCTCAAAAAATAAGCCCTTAATTTACAAATAGCCTCTAAGGCAACTCTTTCTTCACCCCTCAATTTGTATGAACGCGTTCAACATAGAGACTAAACAGTATGTGCTACCTCATTTTGTCCTGAGAATTCTCTGGGCCTCCCAGCTCACCTAGCACACGACCATGTAGGTTTCAAAGTCCAAAATGACAGTTTCAAGGATGTCAAGGAAAAGTGTTCTTGAATATGTAAAAACAGAGGTAGAGCCACTCACGGGTGAACAACGATGAGAGGAGGAAGCAAAACAAGGGTGCTCACCGTCATTTTACCGTGTGTGTGTGGGTGTGTTGGGGGGCGTGTGTGGTGTGGACATCAACATTCAGTTCTGATAATGAGGATGGAGAGTCGATGGAACTAGACCTAGAGTTTTTGTTTTCTGTTTCAGTTGCAAAGATAACGACTGAACGACGTAAATGGAGTGATGTGGCTTGGAGAGGCTGGAAGCGGGTGCAGGTGTCTTGAGCAAGTTAAACCATTGCCTGTAAAGCAAGAAATCTCACGCTGACACGTCAAGATAGTGGTATAAGTGTATCGACTTGGAATAACCACAGGCAGAACTACAGAGAAACACAAAAAAAAGAAATGATGAGTGAGGGCGAGCCTCTTGGGAGTGTAACTGGGGGAAAGAGAGAATGGGGGCTTGGGGATGGAGGGTAAAGACCGCTTGTCTTATTATCTGATTTTACTCAACTACGAGTACACATTTCTTTTGATAAAAAATAAACACATTTAAGTGTTCAAAAATTGAAGATCCGTGACTGCCTTCTCTGCCCCTGACTAGATGGTTTTCTGTCGCCGCTTTCTGTGGCTCTGGCAGGCAGACTCCACATCTGGCTGGAGCGAGCGCTCCCTTGATAAAAGTGGAACATCTGCACGGAGCGGCTTGATTCACTCACAAAACATAAACAAATCTCTCAGGATGAACTAGACATTTCTGGCCCACCTGCACATCAAGGACGGTCAAACCCGACACAGGGAGAGAAGGAACTTCCTGGGGTGAGTGGGCGAAGGGAGAGGATGTGGGGAGGGAGCCCACGGTTTGTTCACCAAGGAGGCAGGGGCGGGGGGAGTGGAAACGGGGATGGGGAGGCGGCTCCAGCAAAACAGCCCCCTCTTCCACCTTCACCCGCCAACTCACTCTCCCGCATCCACTGGCACTCCTGCTGAGAGATTTTCCTGAACTTCAAGGAAAACCCCTTGAGGTGTGGCAAAGTCCCCCAAGACACTGAGTGGGGAGGGGCTAAAGTCCCGCAGGGCAGGGGGTGGGGTCAGCCCACTTGTGGCGCCCTCAGCCAGCCAGGCTGTACTCACAGCACGAGCATCCGGGACAGCCCCCAGAAGGCCCCGTCCGTCAGCCTGCTGATGTTGTTTCGCTGTAGCTTCAGCACCTCCAAACTGTCGAGCCCCTGGAACGTCAGGCCCTCGATCAGCCGAATCCGATTCCGATTGAGGTCCCTAAAGAGACAAAGTCGGCGATTCAGAGCATCCCCTGCACACAACCCATCTGTAACCATCCCCACGAGGGCCCCGGGGAAAATGTCAGGAGGAGGTCCCGGTAAGCATGGATGTGCACACTGACATTGACCCTGACCGGGCACTGATTCGGAGAGAAAGCGGGGCGCAGAGCTCCCCAGAGGCCGGTCCCACCACGCCCCCCCCACCACATGATGAGTGCTCACTTCCTCCCCGCACGCCCATGACTCTGCAGCGAGGAGGTGGGTGTGACTCAGGATGCGAATGTCCTAGGGGAGCTGTCTCCTAGCTCAGCAGCAGAAACCCCCACCAGCTGCCTCAACCCAGGAAAATCCAACCACTGGCCGTCAAACAGCAACACCTCCTGCAGAGGCATTAGTCGAGCCTCTATTGACTGAGAGACGTGACTACACTCCGGAGGTGGGGCGGGTTGACACACTGCAAAGCACATATGTGGGCTTCCAACCCCGGTGTGATGCAACCTCCATTAACCAAAAGATTTCAGGAGTCCGGATGGGCTGGCTCCACCAGTAACACAGGGGAAAGGGGCGGGAGAATACGGCCTGACCAGAAAGTCCTGGGTTTCCCCTGAATACTTTCACAGTGTCTCATGACCCAAACAACCTCTTGAGCATCCAGAGAGCTTCTCTAGGAGCAGAGAGAGCACGGCTGGGCCCCAATGCCTGGGGTGTGCTGGGGAACCACAGCAGTGACAGCCTGGGGGCACACCCCACCTTGCCACCAAACCTGGCCATGAACAACTGTTTTGTTCAGTTTAAGGCAAATCTCCAACATCAGCTTATTTTCCTGAGATACACCCTTCTGCTACAAAAAAAAAAAAGGAGGGGTACACAGGAAAACAAAAAAACAGGAAACGGACATTCTATTATGTTCTGGTAAAGAGACGTTCTTTTGACTCCAAACCCTGCGCCATTCTAGGAAGGCACTCAGCTGTGGTGGTCAAAAAACTAAAAAAAACACGTCCTTTCTGTAAAAATAAAAATCATCAGTCAACTACGTTGAGACTGAGGAGATGGAGATGGTGGCCCATCTGTTGCTCCCTACCTCTGGGGACACTGACTTCCTCTCAAACAGCTCAAGGAGCAGTGGACCCCATCACGCCCACAGCTGGGATTACACGGGTGCCTTTAAAAAAACACCCAAACCTCAAAGATAAATAAGGACCCAATGCACATAGCCGAGTGTCGGCCGAGATCACTACGTAGCAGGATTCCTATGCATTTTGGAAAGTGCCGGCGAGGACAAGTGTGTGTGTCCTCAGTGATCTTTTCTCAGCAACCTGAGGCAGCCCGCAGGCACCAGACCCAGCTTCTAATCTGCTTTTATTAGCTGTTGCCGCAGGGCCATCCGTGGTAGTTCACGCAGAGCATGCTGGTGGGGCGGAGCAGGGAAGGGGGTGCGTTTGGAACAAGGTCCTGGGGGAAATCGGGCCTCCATAAAGTTTGGCCAAGCTTAACTAAAGTGCGGGGCTCTGTACTCACAGTTGTGTCAGCCGGGGTAGCTTGAATGCTTTCACAGGAAGCTGAGTGAGCCTGTTTTTGCTCAGCCGAAGCGTGAGCAGTGACCTTGACAGACCATCAAATGCTCCCGACTCCAGGGTGCTGATCCGGTTGCTCGCCAGGTTGCTGGAATTGTTTGGGAGAGAAAAGGCGGGGGTCAGGAGAAGACCTTCCTCATTCTGCTACAGACACCAGACCTCGCTGCGCTGGGAAAAGGAGCTAAAACACACCCAGATGGATGGCTTTCCAATGAGACGTTTGTCATCCCAAGGCTGCAAAGCCCATCCTCACTCCCAGACAGGAGGGCCAGGGGAACACGGCTATCAGGACCGCCCATGGGAGTCTTGATGGAAGCCCAGGGCTCGCCATGCTGTGGTCGGTGTGGCTACCCGGGGTGGGTGGCTATGCCCTCTACCCCAGCCGTCCACACACCCCAGCCGGAAGGCCTGCAGAGTCCCTCCTCACCACCTGCTACGCAAGGGTCCGAGTTCAAGGTGGGCGGGAAGAGCTTTAGGAAGCAGAAAGTCCACTGCGAGGCAAGATCAGAGTGGATAATTTGAGGACACAGCCTTTAATTTTGAAGCGGGTCTCAATGTACGACTTACATAATAAATGTACATAAACCAATTCATATTAATTATCTTAAATGTGTCAAAGAAACATTCTAGTTATGGAAATCTGCAAGAGTGGTGGAGAGGGAGGGGGAGGGGCAAGGCATGGGGAGGGGATTAAGAGGCACAAGCTACTATGTATAAAAGAAATAGGCCACAAAGATGTATTGTACAGCACAGGGAATGTAGCCAATAGTTTAAGAACTATAAATGGAGTAAAATCTATAAAAATTTTTGAATCACTATTCTGTACACCTGAAACTAATACTGTAAACCAACTGAATCTCAATAAAAAAATCTTTTTAGAACAGAGATCTGCATGGAGTCCCTTTAAAAAGCAAGCAATACTTGCAAAGGACATCCACTTAGAGGGTATGCAAGGGCCCCCCCCAAAACACACTGCCCTGGCAGCTAAGAGCTGTAGATTTCTGTTGCATGTAAATTATATCAAGTAAGAAAAAAAAAGAGAGAGAAAAGTGGGTAACAATTTGGTCATTCCTATGAGAAGTTACCCTCAACTCTCTCCTTCCAAACTTCCCCAGGCCAGTGCTGCTTTTTGCAGCTTAAGCAAAATGGAAAAGGACCAGACAGGATGTTCTCCATCAGAGTAGGGCAGGGAAGAAGGCATTTTTTTGTCTCCGCCAGACAGCGGCCAAGACAGGGCACATTAGGATTCTTTGCAAATGGACCTGGACTGTTTGTTCTTAACACTTCAGATTAAAGAACAGTCTGTGTGCTGAAGATATCCTGGCCAGTATCTGCCAAAATAGAAAGTCCTCCCTGCTTTCGTGCAGCAAGAAGGTCACTGCAATTCAGTTTAGCAGTTGTGGTTTCTTTGTCCCAAGCAAGGCAGTGCCAGGTGGCAGCTGGACCCCTTTGGAAAGCCCTCATGGGGGACTGAGCACCACTACATCGGCTTAGGGAGTGGCCAAGGCCACCTGTTTCCAGCTCTCGCCCCTGGATACAGCCTGAGAAAGAAACCATGCCTCTTCCTGTGGTCTCAGAAATCTGTGTGCCTAACCTTGGCCTCTGCACAGACGGGTCACGTCAACTCCTCAACCATCCTCACAATCGATCCCCCAAATATACGCAGTAATAATGCAGGGAACTTGCGTGTCCCCTAACCTGTCTCTTTAGCCTGAGATTTCAATGTTTTCCCCAAAGCAAGATTTTCCTTCCATCTACGATCGGCTGGCTGTGAGACGGGGCACTGGGATGGGAAGAAGAGAAACAGCCCAACAAAGTGATGGAGAAGGTGGAGAGAACTCAGAGGATGGATAAGCCTTGACCAGCTGAGCATCAGCAGAAAGGTCTCCCTCCTACATCACCACTGCTCTAATCACCCCCGAGCATGTCTCTTAAGCTTTCCTAGGAGGCAGCCCGGTGAAGGGGACAGAGAAGCGGCTTCGTGGCCAGTAGAGCCCTGCCTTTAAGGGCTAGATTCTCCTCTTAAGGGGTCAGTCTGTTAGGTCATTTCACCTCTCCTGGCCTCAGCTTCCGCACCCACCTGTAAAGTCAGGGCAACATGCTGGATTTGGAGATGCTCCCTAAACAGGCTCACAGAAGACAATGGACCTGGGTCCCCAGCCCCTTGCCCTGCAGGGAAGACAGAGGAGGCCTGCGCCTGTCCCGCTGCCGCAGCCGGACCACAGAGAAGAGGAGGAAACACCCACCCGCGTCCAGGCCTGGGCGCTGCCGACAGAAGAGGCACTTACAGCTCCTTTATGGGCAGCCCGTGTGGGAAGCAGGCGCCCCGGACCTCCGTGATGTTGTTGGAGCTGAGATCCAGCACTTCCAGGGACAGGTAGGCCTTCAGCTGACTTCCCTCCACACTGCGGATCCTGTTGTGTTGCCTACGACACACAAAGGGGCATGACTTGAGCATGTCATTTTGCAAAGAAACTATTTTCCTCCATTTCTTCCAGACTTTTTTTTTCTGAGCTGTTTTGCAATTCCAGAAAAATACCAATACAGTGACACTCTTAAAATGAGATCACTCATCCTTCATTCCGTCAAGTTACGTACAATCTGTAGGCCAGGAGCTAGACAGAATGTCAAAGTCTTTGTCTGTGACAAGTTTGTCTGCCCAAGTGTGAAGCTCGGTTACTCTCCGCAAGGACAAGAACACAGGGGTGATATTTTGGACGTGTGAAGACCAGCCTGGCATGATCAGAACTCAGAACCCACAGGTACACTTTCCCATAAAGGATGTGCCTGGTGTAACCAAGCACTTCTGATGCAGCCCGCATCTAGAGCCTTCAGAACCTAGTGCAACTCCACTACCTACAAGAATGCAGGCACCAGAGCCCAGAGTTCAGTTTAATCCAGCCTAACACATCATTAGACACCTCAAATTTTATCGACACCTGCTGTGAACCAGGCGTGGTGACAGGCACAAAGGATGGGGGAAGAAAAAGACAAAATCCTGACAACCTAATAAGGGAAACAGGAACTCAGCACTGGGTCCAATGGGAATGGAATCCACTGTACCTCCTGACTCCACTCCCTTGATAGGTCCGTTCTTCAGTTTCCTCATCTGGAAGATGGGGCCAAACCCGTTACTTCAGGGATACAGATGACCCTACCTGAACCACACTGACGCGTCTGGCAGATGTTCCCGTGGGTGTTTAGTGTTTATCCCTCTCCAAGGCCTATTTGTACTTTAACCCTCTTTCTGAAAAACCCCCAGTACAACCCACTGACCAGTACTTATTAATCAGGAGAAATTCAACAAATGCCAACCAAGGCTGGAGGGAACCGGCAGCCCCCTTGTGGGTGTAGCGCTGCCTGGCAGATTCACACCCCCACAGCCCTGATCCCGATATTCGGGTACTTCAGCATCCGTGTAGTGCTGGGCCTCTGGGTTCCGGGCTCTCACTCCGGTCAACTTCTAAGTCAACAGTGTCGGGGGCTCCGGCCAAAGTATTCTCGAACACGACCCAAGCGAGCCAGGCGTCGCTAACCAAGCGGCATCTATTTTAAACAAACACTTGACCAAATCCGTTCCAACATGCATCAACAAGGCCCTCCTTCCCAGAAGCTCTGGGACTTCTCGTCCACGCCTTTGTTTCCTTCCCATCGCTCCCCAGCCCTGGACCCAAAAACGCATTTACAAGGGCACAGCTCCACACACTGTGAAATCTCCCCAGAATGAAAGGCGAGTTTTCCCTCCATCCCTCCCCCCACCTAAGCTACTTCCTTTGAGTTCTTTATTAAGTTCTTAATAAAGATGGTCTCTTTAGTTTTCTGACTCCAAAAGAAAAAGAAAAGAAAACAAGAAAAGAAAAACCTTTATTATGTAAAGTATGGGAAAAATAAAAAAAGAACAAGGCATAAAAGCAAAAGAGCTGAGCCTCATCCAGGAACTCTGAATGCAGGACCAGGGAGCCAGGAAAAGGTCTGAGAAAAGGGAAGGGGTGCCGTTGGCCCCAAGTCACACAAAGAGGGACCAAGCGCAGTCCAAGGGGCCAGGGGACAGCTGCGAGTCCCCCGCACTTTTCCCACTGCCCTGTCCTCGCCTGTCTCTTTCACCTCACGCCCTCCTTCTTCTGTCTCGTCAGTGTATTTATTCATCGAGTGAAGCACATTCTGAGCCCCTGCTCTGCGCCAGGCCCATGCCGGAGGAAGGATGCTGTGATGAAGACGGGTCTCTTTCACATGCTGGAAGGAGTTCCCTGTTGAGCCAGAGAGGCAGCCATGGAGATGAGGAACAACGGAGGAGCGTGGGAGTGAGGATGGGTGAGACATGCCGGGAGAGAAAGGGAGGGAGCCGTGTGGAATTCCGCCCAAAGAGGCTGTGGGGGCAGCTCCAGAGGGTAGGATGAGGATGTTGGGAGCAGACAGGCAGGGCAGAGGCCGTGATCAGATCACGGAGCTGGGAGGGCAGGGGGACCACATCGGGGCATCCCTGTCACTGGGGGCCAGGTGAGTGGTGGGAGCAATGGAGAGACAGATGCAAGAGAAACAGCAATGATGGATCCATGGGATCTGGAGATGACAGCTGGGGGAACGGGCATCGAACGGTGTCCCTAAATTTCCTGATCCAGAAATGCTGAGATAACCAGGCTACAGGCTATACCTTCCATCCTTGCCCCCTTATGGTCTATTCTCAGCCCAGCAGCCAGAGAGATCCAGTCCAGGAAGACATCCCACAGGATGGGGGACACACCTGCAAATCATCCATCTGATGAGGAAGAAGGATCTACAATATTTAGAGATTCTAAATATCTTGACAACAACACAAAAACTCAATGACAACCAGACAAAAAAACCTCAGATGAGCCAGTTTAAAAAATGGGCAAAGGACTTGAACAGACATTTCTCCAAAGAAGATTAAAAAATGGCCACTGAGCACATGAAAAGACGCTCAACATCACTAATCATTAGGGAAACACAACGAGATACCACCTCACACCCACAGCATGGCTACTATTTGAAAAAAGAGAAAAAGGAATATAAGTGCAGGCGAGGAAGAGGAGAAACTGGAATCTTGATGCAGCTGCTGAAGAAAATGGTACAGCTGTTCCTCAAAAAACTGAGCACAGAATTACCAGCACATGATCCAGCAATTCCACTTCTGGGTGTACATCCAAATGAATGGAGAGCAGATCTCCAAGTGATGTTTGCACACCCATGTTCATAGCAGCATTATTCACAGTAGCCGAAAGGCGAAGCAACCCAAAGGATGGACAGACGGATGGACAGATGAACAGACAAACACAATGTGGTATACATGTACAACGGACTGCCAGGGGCTGGGGGAGGGGGAATAGGTTGCTGCATGGAGTTTTCATTTTCTGAGATGGAGAAAGCTCTGGAGGTTGGTTACACAATCTGAGTACTCTTAACACCACTGAAATGTACACTTAAAAATGATGAAGTTGGTAAATTTCACATGACATGTATTTTATTACAGCTTAAAAACAAAACAAAGCAAAAATCAAGTCAGGTCACAGACGTGTGTGGCTACAACTCAAATGATGGCTCTCGTGTCTCACTCAGGACTCAGTCCTGACAACGGTCTCCCAGGCCCACGTGATTGGCCATGCACCTGCCTTTGCTGCCTCACTTCCTAATCTTCCACCTGGCACTCTGCCCCACACACAGGCCCTCAGACACAGCAGGCAGACTCCTGCCCCAGGACCTTTGCACTTTCTTTTCCATTGCTTAGAATGAATGCTCTTCCCCCAGAGATCTGCAGGTCCCATGCCCTTACTTCCTTCCCATCTTTTCTCATTTGTTGCCTTCTTAGTGAGGCTACCCAGGCCCTATTGTCTAAAGCTAACAAGCCCCTTTCTTCCTTTTCCTCCTCACCTCATACACGTGCGCGCACGCACGTGCGCGAGCGCACACACACACACACACACTTTTCCACTCCCCTGCCTGCTTTATTTCTCTCAATAGCTCTATCACCCACTATGCCCAGTATTTTGCTTATTTCTACTTTAACATCATCTCTCCCACCAGGATGTGGTTCTACAAAGGCAGAGGTGTTTGTTTGTTTGGACCACTACTGCGTCTCCAACCAGTGGAACACTGTGAGGCACACAGTAGGTCCTCAACAAACATGCTGAATGAATCAGAAAGAATGAACACAGGTTGAACTCAGTAGGGCTGAGGGTAGACACAGGTTTGGGACTCACGAGCAATTAAGCAGAAGACAGTCATGTAAGCAGAAGAGTTCCATCAGAAAACATGAAGGGAAGAAAGTTTGCCAGCAGCCCTGAGGCAGCACGGCCCAGAGGCAACCACCTAGCTCATAGAGGCTTCAGAGGTCCTTGGGGCTCACAGAATGCACATGCTATCTTCTCCCCCAGGTCTGGTGTCTCTGCTAGGCTCTAGCCCAGCACCCTGATCAAACTTTCTGAATTCCTCCTATTCAGGAAAGCTGACAGCACAGCTCTGTGCTCCTGGAGAGCTCTGTCCCCCTTCTCTCACAGAACAAGGATCACACCTTGGTAGCTGTCTCTGTGGACCCTGGCAATTCCACCCAAGGCCAGGAGCTCTGTGAGCTGGAACACGGCACAGCATCAGAGAAGAACAAGGCAAGAGTTCAAATCCCCTTCGCACCACGCATAGGTGTGAACCGCTGTAAAGCAGGGTGTATGGTTCCTCCGCCTGTGGGCTGATGTGACCTGACACGTAGCAGGTACTCCATAAAATGAGTTCTTGTTTTCATTAGCCGTACTTGGAACCTCAGAGCAGGCTCGGTATCTACTTTGTGGGGGGGGGGGTGTTCTGGAAGAAGAAGGAATGAATGGTCCCTATTCCTCTGCCACATTTCAATTCAAACAGGCAGGCCTGACTCCTCTCTTGGGAGCAAAGGGCTGACTTGGCGTTCTCACGCTTAGCTTCATACATGGAAACAAGCCTGCTCCAGCTGGAGTGGGTCAAAAACCCAGCCTCCAGGAGATCAGGCTGGTCAGAGAGCTGTGCTTCAAAAGTCAAATCCCAGACTGAAACTTCTGTAAGACCCGGGGGGGGGGGTTGCTGGAGATCTGATGGGTTCCTGACCAGCTAGATTACACCCCCCTTCTCACTCTTGCAGCAAGCGGGACTCCGGCCCACACCCCTGACCCCAGCCCACCAAACCCTACCGCACCAGGGACATCTCCTCCAGACACCCACTCATCAAGGTTAGAGCAAAGAGCCAGCATTCAGGGGAAGCCTCCCACCTCCTCAAGAGGGGAACCACTTTCCTAAAACTCTCCATGTGTTATAGGCCATGTGCAACACGGGTGGTCATGTCATTCCTTTAAAGTAACTGACGGTCAGGTCCCAAGATGGTCCACAGTCATCTTTCTAACCTGTGAATCCCTGTCCAAGTTCTTTTTACCACTAGGCAACCAATGAC